TTAGCTCTTTTTTTTCTGAATTCCATCTCTTGAAGGACAGTTATACCAAAATGTATTTCCTTTCTCATTCAAGGCTATTAGGCCTGGCTTGTTATATATTTCCCATAAGGGAGTAAATCCCCCCTCTCACTTACTCTGGGAGTCTTCTCTTGTTTTTCTTTCACTTTCCTACTTGCCTTATTCTGATTGTATATATGTTTAAGTTCATCCAGTTTTTCTTTGCTTTTCTGAACAAGCATGATTCCTAGAGGTTTTTTAATTTTCCTCTCAACGTTTAGGTTTATTATGGCTTTGTTGAGTATTTTCTAGTAACTCAATTCAAAATGATTTATCCTATGTAATTGTATAATAAGGGCCACATTTCCCTTTATCTTTTCAATGATTTAAATCCACCACCCAGCTATATAGTTGAATCTATAGTCTGCTCAGGGATTTATACCCATTGGCAACTTGAAATTACTCAGGGAAAGACTGATAGTAGAACCTTGTTGACAAGCCACATAAACATAAACCCAAATGTTAAATCATTCCTCAGTCCCCTCCTTGGAATACAATGAAGAATAGAATTTGGGACTGCTGATTGCATGCCTTCTATAAGTGGCAGCACATACTATTAAAAGCTCATACAATGCTTTAGAGCTTATGTGGCCCTAACTGCCTTTTACAGTCCTGACTGGCAAACTCAATAAAGGGCAAAAGGTCATTTACCAACAGATGCCTAAAGTGCCTGCCTGTGGGTTTAAAGACTCTTTGACTTGTAATAAAGAAGAAGAAAAAAATGAAAAGAAAAAAAAATAAAATAAAGTGCCTGCCTGTTTTGGGGTGAGCCTTTCCTAAAACCAAAGGACTCTTCCTGCAAAATCTCCCCCATCTTGCAAGCACTAAAGCTGTACCAAAGTCTCTGTCTTCTTCTGTGACGCTTGAGTGTCTATACTTACAGATTTGAGAGGCTCTTTGCTTCTGGTTCTGAATAGTTGAGAAGTAGACACAGAAACAGATAAATTAATGGCGAAGACAGACTGGAGGATGTGACTTTGACCTGAGCATAAAATTGGGCTTCCTGTTTTTTCTCCCCTAAACTTACCCACCCCATCTGAGGCAGAGCAGCTGATAAATAGGAACAATCCTCCCCTTTGCCCAATGAGCTATGTCCCAATTTGGGGGCAGACTTAGGAAAGAAGAATGAGCCAGGAGGTCTGGCTGTGTGTTGTCGGTGACCTCTACCACACTCTTGTCCCTCCTATAGTCACTCATGATGGATGGAGAAAAGGACTGAAGCTTCCTTCCTAGAGTAAGGAGTTACATTATGAGTGAAGAATCTAATGTTTTCCCTAAATGCTTAAGTTATCTCTATAACATTTTTTTCAAATATCTGATCTCTCAACACATTATTTTAAATTATTCTATAGAGCAGTTTTAGGTGTATAGGAAAATTAAGCAGAAAGTACAGAGAGCTTCCCATTCATTCCCCCACCTCTCTCCCCACAGTTACCCCTATTATTAGCATGGTGCATTAGTGTGGTATGTTTGTTAGAATTGATGAGTCATTATTGTTACATTATTATTAATTAAAGCTCCTAGTTTACATTAGGGTTCACCCTTTGTGTTGTACATGTTACGGGTTTTGACAAATGAATAATGACTTGTATCCACCATTATTGTATCCTACAGAATAGTTTCACTGCCATAAACACCCCCTGATCTCTACCTTCTCACCATATTTTTGAAATGGTATCCTTATCACATATCAAGTTCCTACTTAATGAAGGTCCCTCACATTTCTTATGTTTATTTGTCAATATGTAATTATCTTGTTGCTACAGTGACTTGAGATTTTTTTCTCTTTTATGTTCCTTTATGACTTATTACATGTAGAGTAGCTAATTACTTTTTCATATTTATCTTATTTGTGTCTGGCCATTTTACTGACTTTTCATGTTTTATAGTTGTTGAGTTGATTTATCCTTATATTCTTACTGATTTGCTAAAATTTCCAAAACAATGTTGAATAATAGTAATGACAAGGATATGTATACCTTTTTTCAAACTTGAATGAGAATGCCTCTGCTGTTTCACTATTACATGTGATGTTTACTGTTGATTTCTGACAAATGACTTCAGTATACAGACACATCATTTTATTTATTAAAGAATCTTAGGAAATTAACTTCTAATTTTATCACACTCTTTTGGCATCTATTGAAGTTTTTACATGAAATTTTTCTCTTTTAACCTATTTATATGATAAACTACAGTAATAGAGTCATTGTTCCTGACTTCTCCTTGCATTCCTAGAATAATAATTGATTAATGCCCTTCTGGATTCAGTTAGCAAGTAGTTGACAGATACATAAATAAGTCCTTAAAGGAAGAAAAACGTTCAAAACATTTGATCAAAATAGTACCTAGCACTTTAACTGGCATATTAAAAAGCAGACAGCAAGGAAGCATAATAAATAGCATAAAAAAGATGGCATATATAAGATGAAGCATGTTATAATAAATTTGAAGGATTGAACTATACCCTACTAAAAATTATCTTAGATGGTCAGAACTTCAGACTAAGTCATGATGAAATCTATGCTGTTCATAAGAGATTAAAGATAACACATGTAAATATAACAAATACAAAGATAGAACAAATAAGAGAGAACATAAACAGAGCAATTGCAAGTTGGGTTTTTTTCTTAAGCTTAACCAGTGAAATTTTATTGTTCAGAAGTTAGCTTTTTTGGTTTTTGGTTTAGGTTTCTCACTCTTCAGTGACTTGTTATCTCTCATATTCTCCAACTTACCTGGGTCTCTATCTCGTCCCATTTCTTGTCTGTGGCTATACCTCTTCCAAATTGATATTGTTGAAAATTATAAGTCTATTTTATTATAGTCAAGTAAATGTACTATTGGGATACAAAAGGCTCATTCCATTTCACCCACACACACACAGCACAATGGTAATATCTAACTGGAGATTAATCTTAGACTAGAACTCAGTTGTTGTACAAAGATCTCCATTTCTCCAACTTCCTTTAGTGCCTATGAATTCACTTATAAACTATCCTTAGTATGCCTTGGAAATGTTTTTGCTTAATTTTGGTTTAGCCCTATGTCTGTTGTGTTTTTTTGTTTTGAGACAGAGTCTCACTGTGTTGCCCTAAGTAGAGTGCCTGGGCATCAGCCTAGCTCATAACAACCTCAAACTCTTGGGCTCAAGCAATCCTCTTGCCTCAGCCTCCCGAGTAGCTGGGACTATGGGCTTATGCCACCACGCCCCGCTAATTTTTCTATTTTTAGTTGTTTTGCCTAATTTCTTTCTATTTATAGTAGAGATGGGGTCTCGCTCTTGCTCAGGCTGGGCTTGAACTCCTGAACTGAAATAGTCCTCCCGCCTTGGCCTCCCAGAGTGCTAGAATTACAGGCGTGAGCCACCACACCTGGCCTAGCCCTATGTTTTATGGAAGTTTTCATCAGTAGCCATAGAATCCTCCCCTATAAGAATGTTATGATCTGATATAATCTGATTTGCTTGCTATTTTCTTCCTCTTCTCCCTCCCCTTCCTCTCCTTTCTCTCTCTCAAGCAACTTGATCAGTTTGTTTTGGTGGTAACCAAATAATTAACTTAGTTTTGCTATTTGGTATGTTTTGGTGTGGTATGTACAGAACTATGCCTATTCTGTACTCCCTCCCCATATAAGAAGAAATGAAAATATAAAAATTTAAGATACTATGGAATCCATAAAAATAGCTTTAGCTGTAAGTAATCTGCATATAATTTCTAAGCAATAGTCTAAAGGCCTTGTTTTTTAAAATCTTCAAATAAGCTGTGAAAATTAAATTTTATTCATTTCTTAGCCTGCTATTTGGGGCCCATTTTCTGTCTCATTCTAAACACTACCATTTTATTTCAATTTTTATTCACAAAGTAATAAAGTTGTGATTTAACTATCAGAAACTATATTAATAGTTTTTATAGTAAAACACTTAAACTTGCAAAATGCAAGTCCTCTGAGCTGCTAGCCCATTATTTAGATTTGTGACTGATAAATTGTTTTTTTACTCTAAATATATTATTCGCCTCATATTCCCAGTTGCCTAGGAAAGTGCCTAATACATTGTAGGCACTAAAGTTTCTGTGAGCCTAACCTGTACATTATATCTTTAACTTCATTAAGAAATCGAAATTTTATTTGACAGAAAAGACATTTATTTTTCCTTTAAATCAATCTATAACAGTTCCTATAAATCTTAATTTTCTTCTTTAATATTCCATTTTCTTCACATTTTTATGAAATATTTATTCTAGACCTACCTTCTTTCAGCAGCCTACAGTGACACTATTTTGGCCTTGGTCAGAAATCACAGTTTAAAACTGACTGCTAGCCAGCTTCTATCAGAAGTGCATTTGAGAGAAGTGTTATTTAAGGAAAGATTGCTGAAGGGGCATTTAGTTCATCCACTCTGTGTACTCTGAGTTATTTCTGTTTGAAGTTAGATCTATGAAAGCTACCTTTTTGGGAAATGCAGTTGTATGCGCTGTGTTTTATCAAGGATAGATAATTGAAAAAAAATCATATAAAAACTGATTGCTGTGTCTGAAAAATTATCAAGGGCAATGATATTGTGTCATTTAATTCGTCCCAAAAAAAGCTTATCATGGGAAATATCTTAGAATTTGTATTAGAAAGAAAATTTTGGTTTCCCTAAGGGATTAGTAGACTTCTTCGTTTCTGATTATGAGGAACTTTTTCTCTTTACTGCTGGGAAAACTCGGTGCCAAATTTTGAACTGCATGGCAGCAACTCCATAAGTTTTTCCTAAATATGTCTTAGAAAGAAATTCTCTGCTGGAAAAAGACTGGATTTACGTAGAAAATAGCGATAAAGCATTTGGCAAGCACCTTTATATATATATAGAGAGAGAGAGAGAACGAGTGCGCGTGTGAGCACATACTAAGCTAGACTTAGTGAGCCCTTTTAATTTTATATATTTTTCTTTTGATTAGAAAACATTGTGTGATGTGATCCTCATGGTCCAGGAAAGAAAGATACCTGCTCATCGTGTTGTTCTTGCTGCAGCTAGTCATTTTTTTAACTTAATGTTCACAAGTAAGTATCTTAAGGTAAAACATGCTATTACTTTTTCTATAAAAATTAGGTGGAGTCTAAGTGAAAATATGGCATTTTTCCTAGTCTTTAAAACATTTAAGGCCGTAAGACAGAGAAGAGATTGAAAGTGGCCAGGTGATGATTGAGCAAAGGAAAAATATCCTTTCATTGGACCTAAGGGCCTGATACCTTTATTGATGGAGGTAAAGCTTCTACTTTTAATGCCCAGAGTTTTCTTCTTAACCTCAAGTAGAAAGGCAAAGGAGCAGATACATCTTATGACATGTTATCTAACAAGTTTAACTGAAAAAAAGAAAAAATGAAATATAGCATATTGTACAAGAAAGAACCCTAGATTTGGAGTTGAAAACTGGGTCCAAGTCCTGCTTCCTCTACTTAGTACTGTTTTATGAGCTTGATCTGGTTATATAATGTATCTGCCTTAAGTTTTCTCTTTGGTGCTCCAGCTACCTACCAGGGTTTTTAGAAGGAATGAGAGCTTTACAAGCTATATATATATATATATATATATATATATATACACACACACACACACACCGTGTTTCCCCAAAAATAAGACCTACCCATAAAATAAGCCCTACTGCTAAAACAAGACCCAGTGATGGGCGTGGCTGCGCATTGTGTCTGCACAACCCATGCATTCGTCACAGAGCGGTAAAGACGACAAGCCGCCCTTCTCATTTGCCCCAGCGTGACAGCTACTATCCCAGAGGTGACTGGAAAGTGCGGGCAGCCCCACCAATAAGGTCAGCTCCCCCTGTCAGGTCCCGGCCATCTTGTGTGTGCTGTAAGCTGAGGCTTTGAGGGAATGTCTGCTCAGTGAAGTGAGAAGTGGGATGCTCTGCTTTAGGTATTGTGTGTCTCCAGGGGGGAAGAAGGAAAGCTGTGGCTGCCATTTTACTCAGCACTGTGGGCCTCTCATCCCCCACAAACACCAGGGGATGGGGAAAAGCTTCAGCAAGCAGTCTCCTACTGAGCCCAGAGGGATCATTTCTGCTCCACTGTGCAAATTGGACCCATTGCTCACTGGATCTCTGATAGATAAGCCAGCCCTGCTCATTTAATGAGAGCTCTATTGCTCCACATGAGAGACTGGGGCCAGTGGTTCTAAAGGAAATAAGAGTCTCAAGAAATTCAGGATGGAATTCGGGGTTTGGAGAGTTATGAAGTTCCAGAAGAAGGCGACTTAACTATATTTGAATAAATGTAGATTGTTGTACCATACTTAAAAAAAAAAATAACACATCCCCTGAAAATAAGCCCTAGGATGTCTTCTTGAGGAAAAATAAATATAAGACACTGTCTTGTTTTCGGGAAACATGGTAGTTGTTTGCATAGGAGACATTTTTGTCTACATCAGAGTCATTTTGCTTGTATTGATTTAAGAGTGCTTAAATTATTTTAAGTACTCGTGGGTTTGTTTCAACTACATCAGAGTTATTTTGCTTGTGATTTAAAAGAGTGCTTAAATTTTAGGAGTTGGGGAAAAACTAAATCTAGTTTTATATCTGTTTATTTGGGCTTTTATTTTTTTAAGTATATGAATTCATTATTTTCTTAGATTAAGGCATATATCAAGTGTGGAAAACTAATTTGCATTTATTATGATAATGTTGGGTTTGCTGGGGTATTTCCTTTCAGAGAGACCTATCTTATTATTCTCCATATTTAACATGGCCTGGAATGGTCTGGTTCCTTAGTTAAACTGGTGGTAGTACTGATGCCATTTATGTTTCTTCTCTTCATTTTAGCTAACATGCTTGAATCAAAGTCTTTTGAAGTAGAACTCAAAGATGCTGAACCTGACATTATTGAACAACTTGTGGAATTTGCTTATACTGCTAGGTGAGTTAGGAAGGATCATTTTTGTTTTAGACAAGTAATGTTGGGATCTACCTTGGCAAAGCATTGTTGTATCGAATTGGTGTGCTATATGCTCTTCAGAGGGAAAAACTGCAAGAATGAAAGAGTTTAAGGATCCTATGCCATATTAACTCAAGTTTAATTTTTTGTTTAATTTCAGGGGCTAGAATACATTCTGTAATACCATTTAAATAATAAAAAATAATGGGAAATTAATATTCACTTTAACTTATTTGCAGAATTTCCGTGAATAGCAACAATGTTCAGTCTTTGTTAGATGCAGCAAACCAGTATCAGATTGAACCTGTGAAGAAAATGTGTGTTGATTTTTTGAAAGAACAAGTTGATGCTTCAAACTGTCTTGGTAAGAAATATTAGATTTCTGTTTTTAAAGAAATCCTCAATGTGTATTTAGACCAAAAAAAACGTGATTATACGTTTCTTCATTTAACCTTAAAGACATTGTCCTCCAAGATGCTTTCTAGTCATAATTTAAGAGGAGCTTAGATGCATGTTAACCTGGACAGCAACAAGCTCATTAAGTATTATATCAATGTTTTCTAAAATATAAAATGGAATTTATGATGAGTTTTCATGTATCTAGGACAAGGAATAAGGATTGTGCACATGGTAGTTTTATGGTATATGGTAACATAAATATGAACATTTGCTTTCATTTAGGCGTTAATGATATGCTAAGGTCTGTCACAGATGAGGAAACTAAAAGTATGTAACTTGCCTGAGGTCACATAGCTAGTGTATGAAGGAACTGGGATTAGAATTCAAGTAATTTAATTCTTAGCTACCGTACCATGCGGCCTCTCCATATTGTCAGATATGCTGTTTTATACTAGAAAACATAAAAATCCTAGATTATAAGCTAGGATACTAATTGAAGGACTGCTAGAGCACTCCATTTTGAAGCTATCAATAAAGTGTTTTATAGTTTATGATAGGAGAAGCAGAGAAAGTTGATTAGAGTTTTCTAGAATTTGATATGCTTTTCACCAAGAGGTGAACTTTAGTGGCACATGAATGAACATCCAGATCTTTGTACAGTAGTCCACTCTTACCTTCAGGATTTGTTCTAAGACCCCAGTGGATGCCTGAATCCTCAGATACTACCAAAACCTATTCATGCTATTTTTTTTCTATATGTATTTATAAATTAGACGCAGTAAGAGGTTAACAACCATAACTAATAATAAATTAGAACAACTGTAACAAAATGCCAGCATCACTACTCTTGTACTTTAGGGCCACGATTAAGTAAAATAAGGGTTATTTGAACACAAGCACTGCAATACCAGCACAGACTGTCTGATAACCAAGATGGCTACTAAGTGGCTAATGGGCAGGTGGGATATACAGTGTAGATACACTGGACAAAGGGATGGTTCACGTCCTGGGCTGGATGGAGCAGGATGTCACAAGATTTCATCATGCTATTCAGAACAACATGCCATTTCAGACTTATGAATTGTTTATTTCTGGGGTTTTCCATTTAATGTTTTCAGACCACAGAAAGTGAAATCCTGGATAAGGGGCGGACTACTGTAATAACATTTTCCTACCCTGGGTGTGATCCAGAGGCATTAAAGAAAGGAAAGAGGGCTGGAGTAGGAATGCTAGAAAAGCAGGGAGGAAAGAAAAGTGGAATCAAAGAAAGTATAAAAAGAGGCTGGAGAATCTAGTCAATGCTTAGATTTTTGCTTTAGAGGAAAAGATGAGGGGTGCTGATGTGACAAGAAGGCAAAAGCTAGGGCAAAGGGCTCTTGGAGATGCTTGAGAACTTTCCCAAGCCTCCTTTGTCCCTCTTTTTTTCTAGGCTTCCCTCATTCTAGACACTTCAGTACTCCTTCCTGCACACACCCGCACTAAAAGTAGAGAGAGAAAGATCTTGGAAGGCAAGTGGGAAGGGAGCAGAATAAATTTCAGCGGCAGTAAAAGCCAGATAAAGGGAATAAAAATGAGACTTAGTCTAATATCTAGAAAAGGAATTGAACTAGATGGAGCAGGAGGAGAAACAACTATGCAGGTGAATTTTTTAAAGGAAGCCATGGGTCTGTGTATTGAAAAGATCCCTATATTGGGAAGCAAAAGACCGATTTCTAATCCCACGTATGCAACAGAAACACTCTGCTGTGAGTCCCTCCATCTCTCTGAGCCATAGTTTGGGGCTCCATTTATCAGTAAAATTTATATTCTTGAGATTTAAGCTTAATTCCCATTACATAAATAAATATTCTCACACAATGTATTATAAAAAGGTAATTACTTTAATGAGGTTTTTAGAAGGTGATGGTTTAAGTATGTTTCCCTGCCTCCATAGCACTTTAAATGCCCTACTGGGGTGATTCAAGTATGCAGAAAAAATGGTTTTAGGCCAGACTCGGTGGCTCATGCCTGTAATCCTAGCACTCTGGGAGGCCGAGGTGGGTGGATAGCTCAAAGTCAGGAGTTTGAAACCAGAGCAAGAGCAAGACCCCATCTCTACTATAAATAGAAATAAATTAATTGGCCAACTAATATATATAGAAAAAATTAGCTGGGCATGGTGGTGCATGCGTGTAGTCCCAGCTGCTCGGGAGGCTGAGGCAGAAGGATTGCTTGAGCCCAGGAGTTTGAGGTTGCTGTGATCTAGGCTGACACCACGGCACTCACTCTAGCCTGGGCAACAAGGCGAGACTATGTCTCAAAAAAAAAAAAAAATGGTTTTAAAATGGGTGGGAAGTAGATATGGTGGTGCAAAGCATAATGTGAAATTTAGAGTGAGTTTGTGCTAAGCGTGTCTTAGGCTTTATAGGCTTCCAAGAAGACCATTTAGTAGTTTTACCTCTGGTTACCTTCTTTCATCATTGTTTCCAAAGCTGGGAGGAAGGATAGCCCTGCAACCTAGAAAGGAGCCTGATTCTCTGGCTAAGCCTGGGACATAGACAGTGGCCCACCCAATTGAGACTGTATAACAGCTTGGTAACCAGGGGAACTGTTTCTGCCTGCTTGGCTCTCACTACCAGCTGATTGGAGAACTTCTGTTTTAGCTTTAACCACCTATCAATTCTCTTTTGCCCAAAAGATTCCAACTATCTGACTTCCACAAGTGCTAAAGGAACCCATGGCGGTGAATGGAATTGGGCAAAGAACATTAAAAGTTAAAGGAAACCCAGTAGTTTAAGGAATAGAAAACCAAGCTAAACAGCTAAAATGAATGGTTCGTGTAAGGCAAATTTAATGTAAGAAATGAAAGGGAACTTAAAAACAGAAAGAATGTATTTTAAGGGGAATAAACCCATGATTTTCCAGTTTTTGACACTCAATTGAATTGAAAATAGAATGGATGTTCCTAAAAATCAAACTAAAGATCAAACAGAGGAAGCTGCCTCATGATACAAAACAAAAATGCCAAGAAAAGGAAGCCATTAGTGAGAAGATGAAAGGAAAGACATGGGAAGAAGATGCAAGAACACTAATGTGGAAGGAAACAGATGGAGGAAAAGCAAAAATCAAATAATAATAGACTTATCTGGGCTTAACTAACTTTCAGACTAAGTTATACTGAGTACTGACCTTATCAATGTAGTTAGATATATCCTTTTTCACCTCCAAAGATCAAGAGAGAACTTAACATTTGGCATGATGAAAGTGTCTTGAAGCTAGATAGTGGTGATGATGGTACAACATTGTCATTGTAGTAAATGTCACTAATGGTAAATTTTATGTTATGTGTATTTTACCACAATAAAAAATCAATATAAAAAAATAATTTACAAGCTTTCAGAGAGAAGCAGAATGGTAGATTACAAAAAAATGACCATAAATTCTTTCTATCCATATATGTATACTCCTTTGAGGTGTGACTTTGTAGCTCCTTCCATCAAGAGGTGTTTTCCTCCCTTGTAATCTGGGTGTGGCCATGTGACTTGCTTTAGCCTGTGGGGCATTAGCAAGTGCGATGTGAGCAGAGGCTTGAAAAATGCTTGTGCTTTGGGACTTGCCCTCCATTGCTGCTGGGAACTCTTCTGCTGCCATGAAAAGAAGGCTAGAGGTCATTTGGGGCAGAAATGAGCTGTCCCAGCTGGTGTCCCTAAGATCAACCATCCTACCTGTTAAATATGTGGATGAAGCCAGTCTAGACCATCCAGCCCCAGCTCAACAACCAGCTAGCCCAGATCAGAAGAACTACAACTTGACCCCTAGAATTTTGTTGTTATGAGCTACTAAATTTGGGGGGTTATCTTGCAGCAACAGATAACTGATATAACAGGTTACTTAGAAAAGAAAGATAATCAGTATGGGCATTAATCTGTTTTATCTGCAACCTAAAGTTAGAAGATAATAGCACAGGTTTGCAAATGATAAGGGGAGAAAAAAAAAATTGTTTTTCTAGGCATCATCATTTGGGATATTGCCAGGAAACAATGTATAATCAATCACCTGTGTCCCTTCTGAGAAAAGTATTGGAAGAAGCACTACAACTAAATGAGAAGTAAAGAGTTCAAGATAAGGATGTATTGGTTAGATTTCTTAGTTGCAAGCAAAATAAACTGAATGTTGCTGGTTTAAACAAAGGAAATTTATGGAAAGGCTTGTGAGTAACTCACAGAATTGCCTAGAAATCTGAAAAATCAGACTTAGAAAAAGAATAAGGATTTGGATGACACAAACTTGTTTAGATAGATATCACAGAATGTTTTACCCAGTGATCAGAGAACACAAATTGTTTTCAGATACCCTTGGAGTTTTGCAAATACTGATCTCCAGCTGTAGAAAATCTGGAGCACCTAAAAGAGAAGAGACACAGGCCACATCCTCTGATTACAGTGCAGCAAAACTAGAAATTAACTATGAAAAGATGGATGTTTCCTCTCACCCCATTCTGAAAACTTGGAAATTTAACTGAAGAATTATTAATAATTAGAAAAATACTTTTAGAAGTATTAAACATGAACTTACATGCTATATAGAAACATATGACAATAACCACACAATAAATTAAAACCTTTGGAATGTAACCCAAGTATTTCTTAGAAGAAAATTTATAGTCTTCAAATGTTTTCCAGATTGGCTGGGTGTGGTGGCTCACGCCTGTAATCCTAGCACCCTGGGAGGCCAAGGCGGGCGAATTGCTCGAGGTCAGGAGTTCGAAACCACCCTGAGCCAGACCCCATCTCTACTAAAAATAGAAAGAAATTAATTGACCAACTAAAAATATATATACAAAAAAAAATTAGCCAAGTATGGTGGCGCATGCCTGTAGCCCCAGCTACTCAGGAGGCTAAGGCAGTAGGATCACTTGAGCCCAGGAGATTGAGGTTGCTGTGAGCTAGGCTGATGCCACGGCACTCACTCTAGCCTGGGCACAAAGTGAAACTCTGTCTCAAAAAAAAAAAAAAAGTTTTCCAAATAAATGAATTTATTATTCTGTCTTGACTTAAGTATTCTACTCAAAGAGGTAGGGAAGACTGAGCATAGTGGCTCTCGCCTATAATCCTAGCACTTTGGGAGGCTGAGGCAGGAGGATCGCTTAAACCCAGGAATTCAAGACCATCCTGAGCAGCACAGTGAGACCCCGTCTCTACAAAAAAAAAAAAAAGAAAAAAGAAAAAATGAGCCAGGTGTGATGGCACATGCCTATAGTACCAGGTACTCAGGAGACTGAGGCAGGAGGATCGCTTGAGCCTGGGAGTTGGAGGCTGCACTCAAGCCTAGATGACAGAGTGAGACCCTGTTTCCGGGGGGGAAGGTGGGGAAAATAATTTTGTAAACACCTGATGAAAGTAGAAGAAAATATCCTTTAAAGCATGAATTAATGAGGTAGAAGAATCAAACTAATAGACTGTAGACGTGTCTAGAAAAACAAAAGCTAATTATTTCAAAGAACAGTATAAAGTAGCCACAAATTGAGCAAGTCTGATCAAGAAGAAAAGACCAAAGAACATCAGGAATTAGAACTGTGGATATGAAAGCAAAAGACAATGACCAAAATTGTCTTAAAAAGCAGAAAACCTGAAGCCAATAACCACCAACAGTTGAAAAGGTAAAGATCTGTTCCTAGTTAGTGCTCCAACTTTGAAGGCTTTATGGGTTAATGCTACCAAGCTTTCAAGGATTAGATTAATGCTTATATTTAAATTGTTCTAAATCTACAGGAAAAGTAGAAAACTTCCCAGCTTATTCTGCTAGGTAGGATTACCATAATGCCAACATTGGATGAAGAACGTGTGTGTGTGAGTGTATAAATACACATAAAACTTCAGGCTATTTTCATTTAGAAACATTGATCTTTATAAATGCTTTTTAAAAATTAGCTAGTTAAGTCCAGCAATGGATGTATTATAAAAAGGAATACCCCTCTCGTGTGGGGTGGTGGTAGTGAGGGAGGCTGTGTGTGGCAACAGCAGATGTATGGGGACTCTGTACTTTCCCCTCAATTTTGCTGTGAACCTAAAATTGCTCTGAAAAATAAAGTTTATTAATTAAAAATAATACTTTGTGATCAAGTAGGATTTACTTCAAAAAATGCCACAAAGGTATAATCATTTCAATGTCGAGAAATCTAGTAACAATTTATGCTAACAAGCTATAGGAGAAAAATGAATACTTAAAATTATAGCAACAGATTCTGAAGGCACTTTGGTCATTTCAGTACCAATTTCTGATGTTAAACATAAAGGCATAAAAACGAACATAAAATGCTTAAAATAGAAATAGTAATTGGTTAAAATATCAGGAGTATACAGATGTAGCAGACCTTTCACCATGAGCATTCAGCATGTGATGGTGAGTACATTTTACAAAGGAGGTAGAAAATGCCAGCTAATCTGACAAATTGGTTAGCAGGCATCAGTTATGAGAACCATTATAGTATAAATATGAAAGCATCAAAACTCATTATCTAAAGACAACATAAACTTGAAACATGGAAAATGAAATATGAACTGAAAAAAATTCAACTTATAACTTAGAAAAGAGGCCTGCCTCAAGATCACATACAAAAATAATTAGTGTCTTTACATAGAAGTGGGATTGGCAAGCTTTTTCTGTAAAGGGTGAGATAGTAAATATGTAGGCCACATGTGGTCCTTGTCTCTTCTTCCTCATATTTCTCTCTCCTGTCCTCCTTCTCTTCCCTTTCTTCTCTCCTTCCTATTTTTTCCCAAACAACCCTTGAAAAATGTAAACCATTTTTTAGCTGCTGACCCTACAAAATAGGCTGTGAGCTGGATTTGGCCCATGAACCATACTTTGCAGACTCCTGATATAGAACATAAGTAATCAGTTGGGGGAAACTCCATTCAAAACAAAAAATAAAACAGATAGGAGAGGCCTAGATGGGAAATGTATAGGATTTTGGTGAAGAAAATTGTGTATTTACATTGAAGATCATGAAAAATCTGAATAAATACTATGAATAAATGTATATCTGAATAAATCAAGTAAATAAACATGATATATGTCACGTTATTTTTTTTTTTTTTTTTTGAGACAGAGTCTCGCTTTCTTGCCTAGGCTAGAGTGAGTGCCATGGCGTCAGCCTAGCTCACAGCAACCTCAAACTCCTGGGCTCAAGCAATCCTACTGCCTCAGCCTCCCGAGTTGCTGGGACTACAGGCACGAGCCACCATGCCCGGCTAATTTTATATATATATATATTAGTTGGCCAATTGATTTATTTCTATTTTTATAGTAGAGACGGGGTCTCGCTCAGGCTGGTTTTGAACTCCTGACCTTGAGCAATCCGCCCGCCTCGGCCTCCCAGAGTGCTAGGATTACAAGCGTGAGCCACCGCGCCCGGCCATATGTCATGTTCTTAAATGAAGTTCCTCTGTGTTGCAGAAGTCAACTATCCCCAAAATAATCCAAAAGTTAACTGCAGCTCTAATTAAAATCGCATCAGGACTTTTAAAAGTAGAATGCGATAAGCTTATTTATGCAATTATTTGCAAGAGAAAATATTTAATAGTAGCTAAGAAAAATTTGAAAAAACATTGAAGGGGGGCTTCTTCTGTAAAATATCAAAATCAGCCATTCATAAGACAGTATAGTATTGGCACAAGAATAGACAAATCAGTGGAACAGAAAAGGATCCAGATATTTGAAATTCATTCAGTGTAATTTTCCTGAAGTCATGCTTTATCTTTAGTATATACTTGGTTCTAAAAATGATTTTCAGTTCTTTTATTTTCTCCCTGTGTTTAGGTATAAGTGTGCTAGCAGAGTGTCTGGACTGTCCTGAATTGAAAGCAACTGCAGATGACTTTATTCATCAGCATTTTACTGAAGTTTACAAAACTGATGAATTTCTACAACTTGATGTCAAGCGAGTGACACATCTTCTCAACCAGGACACTCTGACTGTGAGAGCAGAAGATCAGGTGACTAAATTGACTACTCAACATTTTTCTTAGTAAAAATGTCCTTATCGATTTCTTATGCCTCATGTTTAGATACATGATAAGGGAAAGAGTCATGTTAGGAGAGAATTTGTTCTTTTACACAGTATTCCAAAGTCTGTTTCATTGGAAAAGTTAAGTCCTGGGTGCTTATAAGGTCTTTGAGAGAGAGACCACTTGGTAGAGATAACCATTGTGTACCATGGTAGGCACAACAGTGTTTACCCAAAAGATGCCCACATCCTAATCCCCAAAATCTGTGAATATGTTAACTTATGTGACAAATGAGACTCTGTAGATATGATTAAGGATCTTGAGATGAGATTATGAGGTGGGTCCAGTGTAATCATAAGGGTCCTTAAATGTGGAAGAAGGAGGTAAATGGGAGGCAGTGTCAGAGGGTTCCAATGTGAGAAAGACCTGACTGACCATTGCTGGCTTTGAAAGTGGAAGGGCACCACAAACCTAAGGAGTGCAGACAGCTACTAGATGCTGGAAAGGCAAATAAATGGTTTCTCCTGTGGAGCCTCCTTGCAGACACCTGGATTTTAGCCTGTTGTGACTGGTTTTGGACTCTGACCTCCAGAACTGTCAGATAAACTGTCAGAGGTGTAAGTTGGGTGGCAGGCATTTGGGATCTGAGTAGGGGAATACTTTGATATGCAGACTCACTTTATTTTCAGCCCTACATCCTTCTCTGTATTTTAAGCCACTAAATTTGTGGTAAGTTGTTACAGCAGTAATAGGAAACTAATATAGGAATTATAAGATCATATGCTTTGAGTTACTTTTGTTATAAAAAGTTTGAACTAAGCTATGTTCTTTTCCCCTGTTTTCTTCATGGCCCAGAGTATCAATTTGCAACTTAACAGGTTTGGACCTGGAGGACCTAAGTAGACCAAAAAAAGAAAAGAAAAGAAACAAAAAACCCAACCCAGTTCTGTGATCAAAACTAACTGACTTATATGCAGTATGGAAAAAGAAGAAGTAGTAACTTCAGACTAGAGAAACCTGTCAGACACTACCTACACGTGGTCAGGGTTAACATCAGTGATGAATCATGTTGAAGGCATGCACACTTGATGTAGTGAGACTGGCATGTCACCTCTGTGATTGTCCTCCCAAAAAACTGTAACTCCAGTCTAATGAGTAAAATATTGAGGGACATTCGTCAAAATACCTGACCGAGCGTCCTTTATGGGATCATGAAAAAATAACATTAGATAAGAACTAAAGAATTTCCCCTCCCACCACCAAAAAAGGTATAGACTTTAGTTATTGTGTCAATATGGCTTCATTAGTTGTGACAAATGTGTCATACTAATGTAACACCTTAACAACCAGGTGCCGGGTATGTGGGAACTCTGCAGTATCTCTGCAACTTTTCTATAAATCTTAAACTATTCTAAAATAAAAAGTTTGTTTATTTATTTTTGAGACAGAGTCTTGCTCTCTTGCCTGGGCTAGAGTGCTGTGGCGTCAGCCTAGCTCACAACAACCTCAAACTCCTGGGCTCAAGCAATCCTCCTGCCTCAGCCTCCTGGGTAGCTGGAACTACAGGCACATGCCACCATTCCCAGCTAATTTTTCTATTTTTAGTTGTTTGGCTAATTTCTTTCTAGTTTTAGTAGAGATGGGATCTCACTCTTGCTCAGGCTGGTCTCGAACTCCTGAGCTCAAGCAATTTGTCTGCCTTGGCCTCCTAGAGTGTTAGGATTTCAGGCGGGAGCCACAGCACCTGGCCAAAAGTTTATTTTAAAAAAGACCAATTCCCACAAAAAATTAACTCAGGGAGATCAGATCTTGGGCCTTATTAACACCATCCCAAAATTAATTCATTTAGCTCAAACATGTCAGTGTGGTAGATATGTGTGTATTTGAAATCATTTGTTTTCAGTGCGTTTAATGATTTATAAATTAAATATTAATGAACTTGGGCTTATTCAGTGCAGTTAAATGAATGCTACAGTATTATTTGGGAGGAAATTCTCATATAAATGCAATTTATATGCAAAAAATCCTGCAATTTGCTTTTAAACTAAAATTTTTGTTTTTAACATTTCTAGAGAGCTGATAAGTCTGTCAATTAATAATATAAGAATATAAGATTGAAATAAAATCACAGATGACCTTCATATCTTCTGGGGTGGAAAGCCTTTTAGGAAATTAACCTGTTTTCCTATATATATTGATATATAGGAAACTTATGTTGACCAATAGATTTTTTTCATTACAATGTATATCATATCTTATTCTGAAAAGGAAGCTATATTTTGTTTTAAAAAATCATAAATTCAGCATTTTCCCTATCATTAAATTATGTAGTAACAATTCTAAAAAAAAACATTACCTACACGACTCACTCAGTAGAACAGTATGTAAACTGTTCTGAAGTGCAGGCAAATGTTCAGAGATGAAAGCAAATATCTGAATAAGACATTGGGAATATGATTGTCTCCTTATGAGGTTCTCTCCCTTCAATGTGAGAGTAAACATAGGTAATTGGAAATGTTTCTGCCATCTAAGAATTTTACTATGCTGTTTTTCCCCCTTAGGTTTATGATGCTGCAGTCAGGTGGTTGAAATACGATGAACCTAATCGCCAGCCATTTATGGTTGATATCCTTGCTAAAGTCAGGTTTCCTCTTATATCAAAGAATTTCTTAAGTAAAACGGTACAAGCTGAACCACTTATTCAAGACAATCCTGAGTGCCTTAAGATGGTGATAAGTAAGTTGCCTTAATATCCATTTATAACCTGATAATGTAGTCAGTTTCTTATGAGCTTAAAACTGTATTTAGAATAGATCCGATTCAGGAGCCAGATTCAAGACTTTGCTCTTTTAGATAATTAATCCCTTGGTTTCTCAACTGTACACCTGAAGGGGACTTGGCCTCAGCCCTTATTATATAGGTATTCATTAGTATGTAAGAGGAGGTAAAAATTACTTACTTTTTTTCTACTTTTGTATACAATAGCTTTCATGTGCTGCTTTTCTAGTGTTTCCTTTTTAATTTTACTTAGCCTAGTAGTGTAGTAGTATCTCATTTTCTTTCTTAAATAGCTTTTTTCTTTTTTTGCCTGGAGCTACAAATTGTCATTTTTTTCATTTGTTCTGATTTTCTTGACTCATAGGCTGTCTAGGTCCTTCAAAACTTTGTAAAATGTCACTTAATAAAATTGTCTTGTACAATTAAACAATTTGTTGCTTTTATTTCTTGGAAATATCGCTTCGTTGTGCCTATTCCAGTATGGATGTTTGCTCTCTAGGCCTGGGGCACAGTTCTTTCCTGGGGCTTCCTTTCTTCCATCTCCATCACCCCTCTCCTATGTCAGATCCATTCTCTTCTTGGATCCCAGGTTTTTCCCTATCTTAATTCTTACTGTTTGATCAAATATATCCTCTCAAAGTTTCCTGATAGTGTATATAATCATTAAATATTTGGTGACTTGACAAATCTCATATGTTTATTTTACTGTACAACATTGAGGGATAGTTAAACTGGATATAGACTTATGTTGAAAATCATTATCAGTTAGAATTTGAAGACATTGCTCCATTATCTCCTAGCTTCCAGTATTACTTTTGAAAAGTCTAATGCCAATCTGATCCTTTTCTTTTTTTTTTATTCCTCTCTGTAAGCATGTAAGCATTTAAAATCTTTTTTTTTTAATCTGTGATATTTTGAAAGTTTACAGTAATGTACCTTGATGTGCTTTTTTCCCCTTTTAAGTCATATTGGTTGGGCATTCTCTTTTCAGCCATAAATTTCTCAATTCTCTGTTGTTAATATTGTGATTCTTGAGCCACTGAATGTCTAACCTTTGGCTCTTGGTCCTCTTATGAGACATAACCTTGAATTTTTTCAATCCTTTTATTTCAGCTATTATTTTGTTATCTATATTTTCTATATGTTATCTTTGAGTTTTCTTTTCCTGTTTTTGCTGTGGAAAGCTTCTCTTAAATATTTGGCTTCATAGCATGTAAGAGTTATTACAAAACTAATAGATTGTACATGTGAGTGGGCTTCTTAGTTCTTGAGCTGAACTATATAGCGTAATCAGAGTAGCCAGTCAATTTTTAAATTGGGGAGCCCCAAATGTTGGTAGATATTTTCTCAGGGAAGTATAAGCTGAGTGTAGGTATTTGTGAGCTGAGTCAGGAGTTATTTTGATACACAGACTTTTGCTTAATCTATGTGTTTACTCTTATACCCTTCTCTGTGCTGTTCACTGAGTCTGGAACATCTCTGGTTCAGTATCTCCAAGACTAATCCTATCTCCTAAAGTAGTGAAAGTACAGTGAGTACCTGACTATGTGGCAGGAGGAGGAGACCTGGCAGTTCAACTATTTGTTCAGAATTTTTTAGAATTCTGTTTCCATCCCTACCTACACCTTCTGGAATACTTAGTATCTCCAATTATGAGCCAATCCAGCATTCTGAAGAGTAATTTTGCTTGATTTTCATTGGTGAGAATGAAAAGCACAGCCATTTAGGTTTGACAGATTCTCCATCTGCCAGCTCTGTTTATTGTGTTTTGGAGTTACAGGTCTATTAGTATTATCAAAGGTAGGGTGTGTGTGTGTGTGTGTTTCTCGTTTCCTGGTTCGTTGAGATGATCTTAAATTGGCATGTCCAATCTCATGTTGTTTTTATATTAAGTCTGAACCAGTATTTTCCTTTATAATGTCTAGCTTTAGTGATGTGGTTGGAAAGTTCTTCCCTATTCCAAGATATTTTTAATTACCTAAATTTTCCTCTTGTGTATTTATCATTTATAGATTTGTTCTTCTCTCTCTCTGTCTCTCTCTCTCGCTTAAGCCTTATATCCTACTGAAATCTATTTGGTATGAAATAATTTTTTTTCCTAAATGTCTGGTAAGATGGCTCAATACCATTATTGAGTAACTCATCTTTTCCCACTGATTTGAAACATGATAAACCAAGTTTCCACATATCTATTTGTGTTCTTTATTAAAAAAGAAAGAAAAAGAAACAAATATGCTGTTCACTGAGTATACATACACAACACACAATCAGTTTCTCTTCTATTTCATATTAGTACTTTGCTTTTAATTACTGTTATGCTTCATTTAAATTGCCATATGTCTCTGGGGAATTTGTAATTTTCTTCCTATAAGTTTCACATTCTTAAATTTATTTTAGATATTTTTATTGTTTTGCCATTGTGAGTTACATCTTTTTCCTTTTATTTCTTATTTATTAGTCTGGTCATTGCTGATGGTCTTTTTTCCTTGCTCATGTTTTGAATTTTTTCTTTAACCACTCTAAATGTAGTTATTTTATGTTTTGTGTTTAATAATGCCAACATCTAAAGTCTCTGAAGACCAAATACTGCTATTCATTGGTTCTATTGACTTATTCCTGGTGGCTTAATTCCTTATGTGTTTTGTAAGTTTGGATTGTGTGCTTATATTTATTTGATTGATCTTAATCTTTAGAAATATTGGGAGGCCCAGGTTGTGTTCCTGCAGGTCTTCTCTGTTCTCCTCATGAAGAGAGTAGTGTTTGCTTTGCCAAGTTCTGTAGGGCACAACCCAGGACTACTTTGAGTTTTCCTTGGCTTATGGCAGGGTAAATTAAAACCTCAAACCTGCATGAGGGCAGGGCTGTCATTATAAATTCTCAAAGGAGGAGACTTGACTTCCACCTGGACCTGAAGTTGAAACAGGCAAGTTACTGTTTCTTTCTTTGCCATCAGGCAGTTATTTTGTCTTAGCCTTTACTTTCACTAAAGAATAACCACCAATCTAAGTGATCTAGCTTTAGGCATAGATCTCAGTTCCAACTCCTTATCTAATACCTTATCTTCTCCCCTTCACACAACTGATAAAAATAATTTCTAAGTTTTCAGTATTATAAAATGCCTTCAGAATAGCTCAAGGGTCTCTCTTTTTTTTTTTGAGACAGAGTCTCGCTTTGTTGACTGGGCTAGAGTGCCATGATGTCAGCCTTGCTCACCTCAACCTCAAACTCCTGGGCTCAAGCGATCCTACTGCCTCAGCTTCCTGAGTAGCTGTGACTATAGGCATGAGCCACCATGCCTGACTAATTTTTTCTATATATATTAGTTGGCCAATTCATTTCTTTCTATTTATAGTAGAGATGGGGTCTCGCTCTTGCTCAGGCTGGTTTCGAACTCCTGACTTCGAGCAGTCCGCCCACCTCGGCCTCCCAGAGTGCTAGGATTACAGGTGTGAGCCACCTTGCCTGGCCTCCAGGGTCTCTTAATGCTTACCATTCTGGTGTCTAATTTTATCTTCATTTTTAGCATCTTGTCTCTTAGGATCTTAGCTATGCATTTTTAAAGATGCTGCTTTTATTCTTTCCCAACCTTTACAGTTATTTTACAGCAGGAGAATATTTCTGAAAGTCTAATCTGTCATTCTGCTATAAGCGGAAGTTTAGATTGTTATTTAAACAGGTATGAAATATGTAATATAATGACTATAATATGCCTAAGTTATACTTCCACAAACTCTCACAGGCTCTTGAATTCCCATTGATTTTAATCAAACTAAACATCATATCTAGAAGTAGGGCAGCATTACAGATTTCAATTTATATGTGATGAGCAAGAAAGCCTCTTATAGAAGGTAGTGAAACCTATGAACTCTTAAGTTATTTTTGATACCTCATCTGGATGATTCACTTAAGGTGTAGCTGATTTCAGGCACAAGTTAAGGAAATAAATAAAAGAGAAATGAGCACTTTCACTCCTGCCTAAGATATTCTTCTCAAGAGACATAGTAAGTTTGAGTGTCCTAATTATTAGATCATTTGTTCCTTAATTTGGAAGTAAAATTTCCTTTAGATTTATCACATAGCTACTAAATAGTATTATGTGGTTTTAGGTAAGTAACCCAATATTATCTACAGTTTGGAAAAATATTATGATATATCTATCCATCCATTGAAATGCTCTACACTTACTAAAAAAAATTTTTCATGATTATATAATATGGAAATTTTTCCTAAGTGGCAAAAGCATAAAACAGTTTATAATACATTTTTTGTTAAATGAAAATGAAATAAAAAAAAAAGACAGGGAGTGTTTGAACCCAGTTAAGGTTGTTAAGGGAAAGAGAGAAGAAGGTGTGGGTCAAAGACACATCCTTATAAATGCCAACATTCAATGGATGGAAGAAGACAAACAGGAAAGACAAAGTCACAGAGCTACTTGAACCAAAGGCTGGTGCCTTGAAAACCAAGGAGTGGATAGGGTGTTAATAAGGTAGAGTATAGGTGGCCACTAATCACTTTAAATGCAGAGAGATGAAAGAAAATCAGGACCAGGAAAATGCCTTTAGGGCTTTCATCTTTTAGGTTTCATACATGTTAATATCAGGTTTTTTGTTATGCCTTCATTCCCAAACCATGTGTTATTTTTCTTGCCTTAGACTTTCATTGGGTAGAGAGCTACTCCTATTTCTTTGTGCATGGTATGGCTGTTGAGAATAGTTCTTACGTGAAACAGGATAACAGGATTATTGCAGAAATTCAAGTGTAGGGATTAGATGCTTGAGCAGGAAACTTTGTTGTGTATTTTAACTTATTAGGTTTATTACATTTTTTTTAAATAAAGAACAGTGAATTGTTCTATAACTCCTTGACTAACCAAGCAGCTCAAATGCTTCCAAGCTTTGAAGTCTAGGCAGAGCTAAATGGGGGATAGAAGTCCTCCAACCTCCCTTCTTCAGATCATTAGTTCTCTTCCTACCATCTGACTTTGTTGACTTTTCAGAGTGGAAGAAACGTGGAAAAGACAGTTGAAAAATAGAATAAAACTAAGCTAAAAAAATATTTACAGTTAAAAGAAAATGAGTTACAAAATAAAAATGAAATCCACAGTCAAAGCTGCCACAATGGCCAACTTCTTATTCAAAATTTATAAAATTTTACTCTGGAAGGAGTAACTTCCAAAGCAATAACCCTAAGAAACTAGGAGCTCCTCAGGGAAAAGTGCCAAAGTATCTCCAGCTCTAGTGTTGGAGAGGGGGAAAAAAGCCTATCAATGAAGACGTCATACCTCATCCTTTCTCCAGGGACGTCATCACAGTTAGCCACAGTCAGCTACTTTTACCCAGTGGCCTCTTGGCTAGAAACAGTTTCCTCCTGTCTCTCTCCTTCTTTCCTGTCTTTCTCTTGCTGGGAGTATTGTGTTCATAGACTACACAGTCCTTCTGCCTGTGTAGAACCCTCCTAGAGCAGTGGCTTTCAAACCCAGAGTTTCTGATTCAGAAGGTCTGGGCTGGTGTTCAATAATTTGTATTTCTAAGTGATCCTGATGTTCATGTGGCACACTTTGAGAACCACCTGTGGGCTAAATACAGCCTTGAGCTAAAACTGGCTTTTAGATTTGTAAAGAATTGTAAAAAAACAAAAAAAATGATATTCCACAGAAACCATATGTGGCCTGCAAAGTCTAAGGTATTTACTCTCTATCCCTTTACAGAAAATGTTCCTGAACCCCTCTGACCTAGAGCATGACCCAGAGTCTGGGCCTCTGAAGTTTCTAGCAGTTTTAATGCAAAAATGGTTCTCCTCAAATTTTGAAATGGAAGGAAATAATAAATATTGATAATGACTTTCATTAATGCACAAACTATTCTCCAAAAACATGTCTTCCCTGTTTTTCCCTTTTATAAAGGGCCAAGACAGCCTCATGTACAGAAGTATTTTGCGTATGTTCAGGATTTTTTTGCATTATTTTATTTTTATATCAATACTATATAGTGTACATAATTCAAAAAGATATTAACAGGGTACATAGTGAAAAATAAGTCTCTCTGGTACCCGTGTTCCCCACCACTCATTCCCTTACCCTAGAAGATACCATTAATATCTTGCATGTCTTCCAGAGGTGGTCTTGAGACTTGGCACACAGTCATTTACTTACATATACATGTATAAATTACATGTATAAAATGTGTACATATGCGTAAAATATGCATTTTTAACACAAATGGCATTATACTCTGCGTACTGTTCTACATCTTTTTTTCTATGCCACATTATTTCTTGGAGATCATTCCATATGTATATACTAAATGTTCTTGTTCTTCTTTGCAGCCATAAATAATATAACATTGCAAGCAGGGCGTGGTGGCTCACGCCTGTAATCCTAGCACTCTGGGAGGCCAAGGCGGGTGGATCGCTCAAGGTCAGGAGTTCGAAACCAGCTTGAGCAAAGGCGAGACCCTGTCTCTACTAAAAAATAGAAAGAAATTAATTGGCCAACTAAAAATATATATAGAAAAAAAGTAACCAGGCATGGTGGCGCATGCCTATAGTCCCAGCTACTGGGGAGGCTGAGGCAGAAGGATCGCTTGAGCCCAAGAGTTTGAGGTTGCTGTGAGCAAGATTGATGCCAGGGCACTTTAGCCCGAGCATCAGAGTGAGACTCGGTCTCAAAAAAATAAAAATAAATATATATATATAACATTGTATAGACATACCATAATTTTTTAACTACCTAACAATGAACTTTATGGTTATAAACTCCTAGAAAAGGAAAATTCCAGGGTTAAAGTGTGTGTACATGTAATTTTGGTGAATAGTACTATATCACCGTCCATATGGTTATAATCATCCACATGCCACCAGCCATGGAAGAGGGTGCTGTCTCCCCTACACACCTTTAGCATAGCCCCTGTGTTCCACACTGGTTATCCTATTTTTCTTTCCGTGCATTCATGAGATTTTTTGCATATTCAAATTTGTATTAATTTGGAATTTAGAGTGAAGTATGAAGTATTGGCACAGTTTTTTCCCTGTTTAATTGTCTTACATTGATAAACAATCTACCTTTCCCACACTGATTTGAAATGACACCATCAAATAGTTTTTGATTGAGTGGCCCTTGACAAAATTAAGTAATTGCTGAAGGAAAAGGATCATGTTAGATCACAATAGTTCTGAATCCTTATTGCATTTTAGTCATCTAAGACAGTGCTTCTCAAAGTTTTATATATACGCATTTCCCTGAATATGCAACTGCTTATTCGGTAGGTCTGGGATATGGTCTGGGATTCAGTATTTCTAACAAACTCCCAGTTGCTGAAGCTGCTGGTCTTTGAACTATATTTGAAGTGGGAAGGATTTAAGGTCCCCTATACCATGCCTGGCCCTACCGCGAGAGATTTTGATTTAATTGGTTTGTGGTAGGGCCCAGGTATAAATAGTTTCAGAGATTTCCTAGGTGATTCTAATGTGCAGTTAATATTGAGAACCACTGGGTTAGGAGATCTGGATTTCAATGATGATTACTTTGGCAGCTATTGTTTAAGGAGCCACATAATTAGTACACAGTAAGTGGGTGGGGCAGTCTTAGAATAATGGTGATTGCTGAGAATAATAAATTTATTAGAACTCAGGGCCTTATATTTCTCTTGCCTCTTCCCCCTCATTTTCCTCAAATGCTATAGAGGAATGATAAGAGAAAATTACAGAAAGAAATGCACTATTATGTCTGAATATTTCCTTTTCAAAGCATTGCATTTGTGACCAAAGTTCTTAAAGAGTTGCCATGTATTTTTCTATAGGTGGAATGAGGTACCATCTACTGTCTCCAGAGGATAGAGAAGAACTTGTAGATGGCACAAGGCCTAGAAGAAAGAAACATGACTACCGCATAGCCCTATTTGGAGGCTCCCAACCACAGTCTTGTAGATATTTCAACCCAAAGGTAACTGGTTTTTATTCTTTTTATTCTTTTGTTTTGAAATCACTGAGCACGTAGACACTCACCTACTACAAGTAGTAATACTCATGCCTTTAGAGATGTTAGTTTATGGTGCTCTTTCACATACTTTATGAGATACATAACTTATTTTCATTTTTATAGATAAGGAAATCGAGGGTTAGATTTCACATGTTTCCATAATTGCTCCAAGTGCTGCATAGTAACCACTATCAAACAAAAGGGGAAAACTGGTTCTCCTATCTTACCTCTGTTTGTTAACAACTTCTTGCTTTCATAACAACAACTTGCTTTTCATTGTGTACTATTTTCAGTGAAAATCTGCTTCTGGGGCTAGATGTGGATTTTTTTCCTTAGTAATTATATTTTAATATAAAATAATACATAATCATTCTAGAAAATTTGGAAAACCTAGAAAATCACAAAGAAAAAAGATAAAATGATCTTTAATCCAACTGTCTAGAAATGATCATGAATTTTAGTGTGCTTTCCATTACATATCATGCCAACTTGACCAGGAGAGCTTAAGTCATAGTTCTAGAAACACAATTTTTAAAAAGTAGATCATTAATCATAACCTTGAGAGAATCCACTCATATTTCTATTCCTTGTCTCTTAGACCTATGTGTTTTGGCTATGGGAGAAAAAAATACAATATTTTCTGGGACTACATGTATTGCTGGGGCAGGGCAAAGAACCACAATTCTAAAACATAATACTCCAACTTTACAAGGTAGTATCCATAACTGATGCTGTATCCAATCACATAATGGATTCTCTTTAATCATTTTGTAAGCCAGTTTTTGGCTAATGATAGATACTTGATGAGACCAGAGCATATGGTTCACATTAGGATACTTGTCTGATAACTTCTTTATGAAATGGGTCCTTGGAGGCATTCTGTGTAATAATGTAGTGGTGATATAGGAGGCATTTATAAAAACACATATGGTAGTGGTGTCAAGAGTACAGAGGACAGGCCGGGCGTGGTGGCTCACGCTTGTAATCCTAGCTCTCTGGGAGGCCGAGGCGGGCGGATTGCTTGAGGTCAGGAGTTCGAGACCAGCCTGAGCAAGAGCAAGACCCCGTCTCTACTATAAATAGAAAGAAATTAAGTGGCCAACTAATATAGAGAGAAAAAATTAGCCGGGCATGGTGGGGCATGCCTATAGTCCCAGCTACTCGGGAGGCTGAGGCAGTAGGATTGCTTGAGCCCAGGAGTTTGGGGTTGCTGTGAGCTAGGCTGACGCCATGGCACTCACTCTAGCCTGGGCAACAAAGTGAGACTCTGTCTCAAAAAAAAAAGTACAGAGAACAGAAAAGGCCAATCCAAATCCAGATTAAATATCAATTTCAATGAGGGCAGAGTATGGTCCCTTCAACAATAGAAGAGTCCCAGTGTAATTAGCCTGTTATTAAGTTATTAACTGGTTTCCTCAAAGTATGGTAACAAAGCAAGGGTTTAGGATTGGTCAGTATTGTTCACAAAGTGGGCAATGGCCAGTAGTGGATAGCCACATTGGCCTTAGGGAGGGGACGTCCATTAACTTCTATAACTGTTTATGCAGCCTCTATCAGTGCCACTGTGGTCACTCATAAGCCCATGGAGCAAGCATTAGGTTGACCACAGAGAGAAGATACAAATGCAGTCTTGTCTACAAGATTTTTTTTTTTGCATTTGGGGGCGCTCTGATAAGAATTCATATGGGACACACATTTCTGGAGGCTCACCTACGTTGTCCTTTCTTAAATTTCCTTGTCAGAAATTTTCCATTCTTCAAGTCTACATCCATGTGAGGTAAACCATTAGCGACTGCCCAGGAATTAATAAAAACTGGCCTTAAGCTTTCACTCCTAAAAGGTATAATGGACAGTAAAATCAGCTGCTTGAAATTCTGTCAAATTAGAATACTTTCCTTCTGTATTGTCCCTCAGTACAATTCCTGAAGGGGCTATGATGCTGTAGCAGTTATTATTGGCTAGTACTATCTAAAACAAACCAAGCTAAGGTCTCTTAAATTTGTTAGCTTGAGTATAGGGAGTACCTCCGTCCTGATGGAGGGAGAAGACAGTGAAGCAGGTGAAGGGCCATAAGGTAAGGGTTGTGATTGGCTTATTTGGCTATTTTGTGCCATTGGAACCTCCATATGCCCAGTCTTGTGTTTACATACCACATTATTGGTTGAAGGCATGCTCTCTTTGTAGTTAGGCAGGTCAAGTAAAACTATTCAAGATGGGTTTATGATATGGGCACCTGGTTTCCTTTGGTGTCAGACATTTGCTATCTGTCAGCCAAGAATTGTCTGCTGAAAGAATGGTACCTGCTTAAAGAAGGTTGGCCTTGCTCCAGAATCCCAGGGCCATGCTCTGTGGTTATATTGGGATGTGCCTCAAGCCATATGCAGCATCCTGATACCCAGAATAACAAGGTACCCTGAGCAGCTGAGCCATACTACTATAGCCTGTCACACTTAGAAAGATTTCTCCATCTCTAGATTTTACTTATAATTAACAGCTTTTTGGTTACCTAGTAGAAATATATATATGGAAAAAAAAGGACACCCACATATAGGATATGTGCAATCTCCAATATGTAGGAGGTGCTTGGGGCAGCAAACTGTCCTTCATTTCTAAGGTGTTATACCAACATGCTATCAATCAGGCATCACAAACTTTTTCTATAAAAGACCAAAGGTAAATATTTTCAGCTTTGCAGGCCATCCATTCTCTCCCACAGCTGAACTCTGACACTGCAGCAGGATAACAGCCATAAATAATACATAAATAAGTGGGGGGTGGCTGTGTGCCAGTAAAACTTTATTTTCAAAACCATGTGATAGGCTAGATTTGGACTTCAGGCTGTAGTTTGCCCGCCTCTGTTCTAGACCTGTGGATATCTAGGGACTTTAAAGTGATCAACACTGTATTCTAGGCTAACTTGTCTGCTGTCCTGTCCGGCACATGTCTGACTGAGACCTATAGGATCCTTTCCATTTCCTGATCTTCAGAACTGATCAGCATATGGGCATCAACATAGGAGACCAGTGTGTGACCTTGGGAAGGTGAGATGGTCCATGGTGCCTGCACCTTAGATTATGGCATAGAGCGAGAAAGTCAAGAGATCCTTAAGGTCAGACCATGACATTATTTTATTTTTCTTGCCAGCTGAAAAGAAATTTCATCTAATGGTCTGGGTAGATAGTAACAGAGAAATATACATTGGCCAAAGTGTTAGCTGCACGTCAAGTTTTAGTGGTTGTGTTAATCTGGTCCAATGAGAAGACCAAATCTGGCCCTCCTTACAACAACCAGAGTTACCAGTCTCAGCAGTTCCTCCTCTATTTTGATAAAGAAGGAGACTTCCAAAAGCTTTTCCTTACCATAATACTTAACACTATAATCTATATAGTAAATGATATGCTGCTAGATAGCAAAAACACTTCGCCAAGGAGGGAGGATCAGGTTAGATTGGTTAATCACCATCATATTTGGACTGTCCCTGTTGGGCTGCTCTTGGCTCCTACATCTATTTCTGATCCATTCCTCCACCTCCAGAATATAGGCTGGTTTTTTACTAAAGACATCTAGCTTCCTTTCTGTGTAGACTAGATGACTGGCAGGTGCCTTGAGAATTCATGGTTTGTGCAATACTATCCAATAAATACAATGTCCTCACTGTGCTTAAGAGGTTATTAAACCTACACATCTGTTTCACACCAAATAAGGGTAAATCTGTTGAAATTTCAGTGGCTGTTTTTTAATTTTTTCAGGATCCTTTTGACTCAAGAATAAGAAAATGATAAACTGGCTGGGCGTGGTGGCTCAATCCTGTAATCCTAGCACTCTGGGAGACTAAGGCAGGCGGATCACTTTAGGTCAGGAGTTGGTGACCAGCCTCAGCAAGAGCGAAGACCCCCTTCTCTACTACAAATAGAAAAACTTAGCTGGGCGTGGTAGCGTGTGCCTATAGTCCCAGCTACTCAGGAGGTTGAAGCAGGAAGATTGCTTGAGCCCAGGAGTTTGAGGTTGCAGTGAGCTATGATGAAGCCACTGCACTCTAGCCTGGGCAACAGAGTGAGACTCTTGTCTCAAAAAGAAAGAAAGAGAGAAAAAAATGATAAACAGCAAAACAAGCAAAAACTGAAATAATAGTGGTTTAAGTTGTTACTCTACAAACCATAGCTTTCCGGTGTTAGCAATAATTATTCCCCATTTGTTTCCCAAAGCCTAACTGTTGTGTTGATTTGGGCAGTTAAAAAAGCAATTAAGCCAAGTTTGAGTGGAAAATGTTTTATTTTAAAATAAAGTAGATGGCCCTTTTGATGTACAGATGGGCAAAGAAGAATCCTGATTTCATTTAGGAGGCCAAGAACATTGTTTCTAGAGTAAGGCAACCGTGGGATGACTTAATAACACTGTTTATTTTTAGTCTGTAGTCCTAACGCTTTCCTTGATTTTTTTTTTTTTTTTTTTTATTGGCAGTTGAAAAGAGATGCATGTCCCATACGACCCTGGAAGTGAGACTGTAACTTCAAAATTCTCATTTGATGTCTTGCTTTGCTTTTGCATATGGCCCATTCTTAATTGCTATTTTGTATTTTCAACCACAAATTATTAGACTTCCATTGGAAACATTCAAATAATTGAGGAATGAACTACAAATAAAAATATCCTCATTCCATCAATTATCTCTTATTCCCAGAAGCTCACACTATTAGAAACCCATTATAATATTTATTGTTTCTATTAGAAGTGCCAGCCCCTTCTCTTCTTGCTATAAAAATTTAGCTTGACTAACTTTTACAGCTTACTATTATTTATGTATAACATTGTAATATAAGTTACTTAGTCCTTATTTCTAATATTAAAAGAATTGACGAAGCTGATATCAGTATATATTATTTATCTTGGATCTCCCAAAGTAAACATTATTTAATTATCTAATTCAGGTAGATTACTTAATAAGAAGTACTGTATAGGAATAT